TTATATTATTATAGTCCCAGATTTGAGTTTGATATAATAAAACAAAATCTTCAATAGCAAAATAGATGTCTTTTTTGTTATTTTTTTGTTGAATAGTCGGGTAGGAATATTTTCATATTTAATTAATAATAACATGCATAATGGATATTCAAATATTTGCAAACTGGATTTTACAGTATTTAGTCGTAGAATATTTCTTTCATACAAATGTGCATAATTTCTTTTTTTTTCATAGAATTTCACATGGGATGAAACGGATTCCATATTCTTATCAGTTCAAAAGACTCAAAATAAGCTAAAAAAGAATTTGGGTGTGGGGGTGCTGGCTTTAAATTAAAACTTAAACCCCGTTTCAATTGGTCTACGTTTTAAAGATTTTCTAGTATGAGTATGGACAAGGACATTCGACGGAATTATTTATATTTCAAATAAAAGAGTATATACCAATAGGTTTTACTTCATAATCATGAACAAACATTCCTTTTTTAATCGCATCAATCATTTATAATCATGATCGTTTATGAAAACATATATGTATATGAATGGTACATACAGTGGTTCAATTTCCAGTCGCTATCCCCTGTACAATATTTTCAGCAAAGTCCCACCCTTTTTTATTTAAAAGCTTATTTGTACTAGAATTCTCTTGACTTCACCAACTGTGGGTGGAAGGAAAGGATAACAGAAATATGAGAACAAATTGTCTTTTTTTGTTAAACGTTTAACAAAAAGCGTATGTGTCCAAAAAAAAAACACGATTCTAAAAATGTTCTGAAGATAGGTGTTCAGGGGAGCAGAATTTCAGCTATGTCAAGATTAATCTCCAGCAAAAAGTGTACCTTTTTGGCAATTATTATTTTTAGAATTTATTTGTTAGATTGTTGCCATGTGTCCCCCATTTAAAAAAAAATTGTGGAGGGAAGGAAGGTTTATTTACAAGGACATTGGCTTGTCTATAATTAGTCTCGGCTAAAATTTTGTTCATAGTCACATTATTTGCTTTTTTGCTCTCTTGCCGATTACTGTTACAGTGTAAGTTATGGGTTCATTTAGGTTGCAAAACATTACACATTTTATTGTCAGTTTTTTAATATATTATGCTGGAAATTTCTTTCTTTTGAACCGATTTTTCTTTTCATAGGAGTATAATTATCATGGCTTATAGTCATGGAATTGTAATTTCTAAAGTAAAGTTTCTACAATATAGATAGCTGCAGTTTCTTTTTTCTGGAAGAGGGACGCATTTTTTTTTTAAATAAAATGTCTTAAAAAATGCATCGCTTGTTTTAAAATGGAATGGAAAAAGAAGTTTGTTTCTACTGAAAATTATTCTAATCTAATAAATTTAATTTCAAAATGTTTTCATTTAAGTTGTCCCGAGATGACGTTCAAATGACGACTGTTTGATGTCTTATTATGTGTCAAGTAAATTGTTTTAGGTTCCATTTACTGTGCTTATTCAGTAGGCTTTGGGTATCACAATAGCAATGGCTCAAACAGTTTACCAAATTGCAGTTTGAATTCTTCTCAAACAAATTAATCAACTGGTAAAATATTTTAACAAATTGCTTCAGTGAAAGGTTGTTAGTTTGAAGTGAGAGCAATGAAAGAAAAAGTAATATTTACCATCCAACTCCAGTTAGTTGTTGTCTATGTCATGAAATTCAAACAAAATAATGATTTACTATAATATGAGTCACTGGTTTGAAAAGGCACAACTTTGACATGAAAACTTCTAGTCTAAAATTTTTTATAGATAATTAGTTTAAAACATTAATTTGTGGATCAATAATTGATAGCTTTGTTTTCTAACAGCAAGTTAGTGCGCATTTGTAATCTGGATATTTTTTTTCTAAAGCAATTACTGATCTGTTAATAATAAAGGGAAATAATTTACATTACTGTATAATCAGCAAAATTTTGTTCTGTCAACTATCAACTTCCTTCATTTTATAAGTAATTTGTTTGTAACATTATTTCCATGATTATTAAACTATCATCCTCTGTTCTGAAAAGAACACTGAAATTCATTTTTAAGATGATTAAAATTTTAAAAAAGACCTGTTAAAAACATATTATGGGACACATTTAAAGCTCTATAAATCATACAGATTTATCTGTAAATTAAGAGGGTATCACCAGTTCAGTAGTCAGCAATTCTGTGTTGACATGAATTTTCAATGATATGGTCAAAATTATAGATTAACTGTTTTGCAAATTTTGAATTGTTCAAAATACTAATGATTTTCTACCACCGAGGATTAGATTACTTACAAGCAGTATTTGGCAAAACCGTTCGGAATTTTGTTTCCTCAATGCTCTTCAACTTCATACTAACTTGGCATTTCAATGTTTATTCGAGTCGTATTGGTGAATCTTTTGTATGCAAAATCGTAAGCCTGGTGGTATCTGATTAATTTTTAATATACAATGACTGAATAAAATCATTTCCCTTTAATGCAAGCAGATCAGTAATTATTTTAGAAAATATTATCCAAATCACAATTAGACGATAACTTGCTGTTAGAAAACAGAGCTATAAATTATTGACCTTCAAAACAATGTTTTAAACTATTTATTTATTAAATTTATTTAGGATAGAAGTTTTCATGTCAAAGTTAGACCTTTTTAAACCAGTGAGTCATATTATAGTAAGTCATTATTTTGTTTGAAATTCATGACATAGGCATCAACTAACTGGAGCTGATTGGTAAGTATTACTTTTTTATTTCACGGCTCTCACTTCATAATAGCAGCCATTGAAGCAATTTGTTAAAATATGTTACTAGTTGATCAGTTTGTTGGAGAAGAATTCAAACTGCAATTTGGTAAATGTTTTTAGCCATTGCTATTGAGATACCCCAAAGCCCACTGAATAAGCACAGTAATATTAATATTAGGTAGCTGCACAATACAGGAAATAGCCTAATTTTATGTAAGCAGAAAGCTGCTCGAAAATACCATCTCCCATTATCTTCATGTGCACACGACATAAATTTGTTAAAATGTGTTCTCTTTATTACAGCACACAGCTAATATGGTGCCGATCCATTTAAGAAGGCGGGGCAAACGGTCATTGGTATCCAATGAATGTTTACAAAGTGTTGAAGAGCGGTGATGCTCAAACACATCGAATTACATTGTCATAAATCAATGACAATGTTGTATAAACAACAAAAGGGGCTACTACATAATCACGATTGTGTAATCCTAATTAAAAATAAAGCTTTGCAACCACGGTCATGATAATGAGTGTAAAACATACCGACAACGTTGGCGGTCAAAATAAACGTCATTTGCGCAATTTCTTCGTGCTCATGTTTTATTCTGAAGGAATTTTAATAATTAACAACAAAGAATATGCAAATATTATACATAAATGAAATCTGCTTTCTATAAGCTTTCTTTTCATACCGAATTTAACTAGAAAAAAAAAACAACCATCAATAAATATTTGTTTTTCCTAAGACTGAAATAGAGAAAAATTGATTGTCTAGGAAAATATTGATACCTTGCTATCCCTATTTATAGAAACTAGTAGATACAGAAAAAATCCAAGACAGTTAAGACTATGTACACATTGTGGTGTATTAGATGACGAATTTTATTTCTTTTTTAAATGTAAAATTAATGAACAATTAAGAAAAGATTTTTTTATTGAAGATAAATATAATAACTTAAACCATATAGATAAATTAAAACAAATTCTAAATCCTGAAACAAAACAGGATACCAACAAGTCAGGCTCCTTTTTAAAAAAGTCACCAAGACTGAGGCAGCGAGTCTCTCTCTCTCTCTCTCTCTCTCTCTCTCTCTCTCTCTATATATATATATATATATATAAAGAAAAACATGATTAAGGTAAGATGCATATGTATTGTTTATTTTCATTGTTTGTTATATATGTATGTTTGTAAAATGTAAAGTAAAGTGCTATTCAATAAAGAATTAATATGTCAAGTTACGACTTTTAAGATTATACAGAATGTAGTGTATACTGAAAATAAACACAGTAGACGGAAAATCGAAATTGTGCTGTGTAATGTTATGCTAGTACAAGCAAATTTAAATATGCGCATCTCATCTCTTTTTCGCTGAAACGGGTTAAGATAATATGTTCATTACTGAAACGACTGAAAAGTTAATGATGCAGCATTCAAAGAAGTTCATTCATATAGTATCCATATTTCAGTTTTATTCTTTTTTTTTCAGGGGGCAGTCTAAAATGTCCAATGATAATCATGTATGAGTCATGCACTTTGCAATTGATTGATTTGTTAATTTGTTCGCCTAAAACTGTCCGAAATGTTTGCCACTTGAGACTTGACCTAAAAGAAACGTTAAACGATAAGGTGTCGATTTTAGATTCAATGTTTCTCTCACATCTAGAAGTCGTAAAAACGAGATAGAATTGGATGTGCTTTTTCATTAGAAAAAGCTGAATTGCACTGCCGCCTACTGGTGTGTAATTTTGGGTAATTGTAATTCATAATTGTGTTGGTTTATTTTAAAAAAAAATTAAGTTTTAAAGTTATCCACTATAATCATGATCAAATGAGCCTCGAAAACAATTATTTTGTGAATATAATGTATAAAATGCCAAAAACAATATTTGTGAATATTAAGTATATAATGTATAATGCATACATTATATAGAGTGAGGATACATTTGCTTTCTTAACAAATTAAATGTTCTGCTGACCACAGTATCACGGTAAGGGAAACTACTAAACAAAATACAATTTACCCTTCAGGAAAAAACAGTAATTTATTAAACAATGTCCGCATTTAATCGCTATATATTCGTTAACATGTGGTATAATAATGATAAATACGACTCTTTTTGAAATGTTTTATTTTTAATATCGGTTGACATAGTGAACTTTTACTGCATTTTCCTTAACATTTTCAATGACCAATCAAAACGTTTGTACAACCTTGAGAAAAGTATAGTAGAAAAGTATATAAATACTACTCTGCTGAGCAGGAAATTTCAGGATTTTACAGGTATAATCAGTTTCAAATCAACTGTAAGTATAAATTTAAAATACAATGAGCTTTTAACTTTTAAGTACATGTAATTGTCAGCATTCACTGTATGTATAACTATGTTTTTTTATGTTTTTGATCTGTTGCTTTTCCTTCAAAAGAATGAATATCTGTGTTTCTAGCGGGCTCGCTTGATATTCCAGCTGATAAAGTCAGTATCGAAAACAAAAATGCCATTATATTATAAATATGTATACAATAGAAAATAGTTACCTTTTTGTTTGCTAAGTGTATAATTCTAGCTATTATATGAGAGGGCCAAAAAGGAGTATGATCAACAGCTAGGTTACATAAGTGACACAGGTAAACAGTGTTTATCGGTGAAAAAGATTCCATTCTCTCTCAAACCAATGACATTTTGTAACGAACGATACTTTTCCGTTTAGTCTGTTTTTATACTAAAACAACTGTTACATCTATATACCTGACAAAATGTCACTCGTTTTATCAATAACAATAACAATAACAATATACTTTATTTTGAAACACTCCGACACATATACATGTGTAATAAAAGGCAAAATACGTAATCACATTTATGGTTGCTATAGAACAATGTTAACATAATCATTATTATCATTATCAGTATTACTCATACCATCAGCTGTAGCAACATGCCAGCAGCGCCTGCATACGGAGTATATATCTCCCAGTTGATACGATACTCCAGGGCTTGTATTTCCTATCATGATTTCCTTTATAGAGGGTTGCTGCTCACAAGGAAGCTATTTAACCAAGAGTTCCAAGTGGTGGAGTTGGAATGATCCCTTAGTAAATTTAACGGACGCTATCACGAGTTGGTTGACCGTTACGGAATATCTGTTTCACAGATGATATCGGATTTGTTCCTAAAGTCGTTACTACAATCTCGTCCCCTTTTCCCGAATGTGACCTACGGAATTAGACTTATCACGAAGTATGTACTAACATGACCAACACGTCGGGTGCCACATGTGGAGCAGATCTGCTTACCCTTCTTGGGCACCTGAGATCACCCCCCGTTTTTTGTGGGGTTCGTGTTGCTTAGTCTTTAGTTTTCTATGTTGTGTTTTGTGTTCTATTGTTTGTCTGTTTGACTTTTTCTTTTTTATCCATGGCGTTGTCAGTTTATTTTCGACTTATGAGATTGAATGTCCCTTTGGTATCTTTCGCCCCTCTTCTGTAAATATTCTTGATCAAACATATGAATAGAAGGAGATGTTTGGTATACGTAAATGAGACAGGCACCCAACGACACTGATGTCCAAAAGACATTCAAGGTCAACGTGCAGACTATTCTAACATTAAGAAGCAAAGGTTTATACATTTACATTATTATCGACTGATATTACTGAATAAGTGTTCTGATTTAAAACGTGAATTGTTAAAAATATCTTTATATATTAATCGGAGGGTGCATTCACAATGATGTATAATCATGATCATAATTATTTTAAATTCAATTATTGTTATGTTTTTTATATTTTTCAGATATTAATCCCGGATCCCTGATTATACCCAATAACATGAAGTATTGTACATGTTTTGTTGTATTGATACTCTCACTATGCGTTGCAGGTAAAATGATTAGATGTCCAACTGTTAGCTGTGCACATACATGTATCCAATTTACATATGTAACATAAAGTTATCATATATGTTAGGGTATTTCCGCAGCGTACACATATACATCTTGCTGCAAATGAAAATAAATTAACATTTGTTAAAATTAAAGAAAAAAGAAAAAAAAAACATGCAAAGTTATTCAAAGCTTGAAGTTTTTAACTAATTTATGAATTATTATCATGATTATTGCTAGTAATTTTAAAAGAAGAAGGGCCAATTTCCCTTTAATTTATTTCAAACTAGGGCCATTTTTCTAACAGTTTTAGTTCCAATCTTCACCTTTACTCACATTATCACAATTTCTTGTGGTTCCAGTGAACAAATGCATGGAAAATTTACCCTGCACATGTACTTCTTAAAAGATACAATTATAATGAGGAAATACTTTTACTAATTTTTGAATAAAATAACATTTTAAGAACCTAGTCATACCTTCTTAAAATTGTCTTCAGAATAAGTAATTTATCGTTTCAATAATTTAGAAAATTTGCTTATCTGTCAATTATATACTGATATATATGTGCAGTAAACATAAAGCTTTATAATTAGTTTTATGAATGCTATTATAAACAACAAGTATTAAAACGAATGTTAGGTTTAAATTAATTAATGCACAATGTTTGTCGTATCCACAATCCCCTCCTGTCTTGTTTGTGACACCAATTAATAGACGAAAGTGTAGGATGATTAAAGTCACATTCGATTGGAATGTGGAAGTTAAAACCGCTGCCTAGCTTACAGAGAGTGCCACGCTATCTGCACGTTATTGAACCCTTGGAACAGCTCTTTGAGGGATCCGTGGGTGAACTGTTGTAAGGCAAGGTTTTTGCCCTTTATTATACTTTTTTTTATCAATGGCAGTCAAAATTTCAGTACTTCTTCCCGATCGACTCACTCGAAAGAAATACCTATTGCATTTATTGTAAATTTGTTATCGTCTTGAACATACATAAATATATGGCTCTGGTCGTTAAACCAACAACAAAATATCAAACTATTACCTATCAATGCAATTTTTCATTGACTTGTTATGTGCATCAAGGCGGTACAACCGGTTAAGCAGGAACAAATTGCTCTTCTGGTATCTATGATGAGTTTATTTCCATGTCATCTGAATTCGAATTGATTGAGTTTGTATTGCTCAATATCAAGGGTATTTTAAGGGTTGAGATGAGTTGTTTGTCATGTCGTCTTGTTTATCTTCAACTGAGTGTGTTTTATTACTCTTTTTGATTTTCTGAATTTCTTTCAGAATAAGAAAAAATGTCTATATTTTGTCTTTTTTCAAAATCGCTTCCAGATCAATAAAGAAGCTTTGTTGACATTTATTTGTCTCAATATATACATTGTTATAGGTATTGTTTAATAAAAAAAATAAAGGAAAATACTGATCTGTAGCTACTTTCAATTGTTCCTTAATAGGTAATGTTCTTTGCCATACTGTAATGCTAGTTATACTTATTCAGAAAATACAAATATTCCGCTGCTAGATTTAATATAGCCGAATAAAAAAAACTTAATGAATAAAAAGGTTCCTCCCTCAAAGAATTGCTTTGTCTTCCTCAGTGCTTGGATTTTACTACCGGGTTTGATAAATACAGAAAAAAAAACATATTTCCATACCACAGTAAACCCATAGGGTAGCATTTCAATGAATATATATTAGAATTGTCCTGTAATATTGGTTATTTAATGAATTTACTTTTATATACCGTGTATATTTATCATATTTTCAGGATTATATGCTAAAAAGCAGCATATGGCCAGCTTTAACTTTGACCAGTTTTGTCCTGAAAGACCAACGAGATGTGATTATTGGTGTAAATTCTTTGGATTCGATAGAGGAGTGTGCGAAGGAAATTGGAACGTTGAGTGTTGGTGTTATTGGGATGGACCGTAAGTTATGATAACGTGGCCATTTTTATGATACAAGTTTAACTTATTATCTAAATTTGTCTTCAAGTTCAGAATAAAGACTAAAAAGAAAAAAACAAGAAATAAGAATAGATATTATTGATAAATCTAAAAAACAAAACATATATTGTCTATTTTACATCTGGCAAACACAACTTTTTGCACCTAAATATAGATAATATTATTATAATTAAATTAGCGGAATACGTTTCACGAGACAGCAACTCGACAACACAAAACACAAAACACCGAGAGGTCAACATAACTCAGTTTGCAATGAACTTTCCAAGAGATCTTTTACGTTTATTTAATTATTACGAGTTAAAAACTGATTCACGATAAATTGTACTATACTATTATTCAAGCATATGGAAGACGCTCTGCCAACGAGAATTCATTTAAAACTTTGCTGTTAAGAAGGACAATATTGATATATGTGTTCTATTTTTAAAATAGAACATAGCAGAATAAAATACAGTAAAACAAAATGTTTGACATTAGAGCGCATAAAAAGCGGCGCGCACAATACGCATTTAGTAGGATGACCCGTCGACACATACTTAAATGTACAGAAGTTGTAATTATTCAAAATGTATCTGTAGGCAAAAAGATTAAACAGATAAAGATGCATTTCTTCGAATTTTTATAAAAAGTAAAATCACAAAAATACTGAACTCCGAGGAAAATTCAAAAAGGAAAGTCCCCAATCAAATGGCAAAATAAAAAAAACCAAACACATCAAACGAATGGATAACAACTGTCATATTCCTGACTTGGTACAGGCATTTTCTTATGTAGAAAATGGTGGATTGAACCTGGTTATAATATATTTTAAGTATTACGGTACTGTGGACAAACATCCGTATTTTGTAAAAATGAATATATGTATGGGTTATATAATTACGAAAGTTAGTTCAGTCTTTCAGTAAATGTGTTTATGATTTAGACAATTTTTATCAATGACATGCTTATATTTGCAGAAAGCCTAGTCTTCAAGGGAAATCAAGAATTGCAAATGAAAAGTAACACTTTAAGAACTAAATAAAATATCGTAAACACAACTGTTACATTTCTCACCTAACCTTTTATTGGAATGTCGTAAATACTACTAGCACACTGATATATGGTATACTTTAACTCAGAGATATTTTTCACATCTTTCAACAACAAGAGCTACAGGCGTGAGATACTCACTAATTCTGTAACGATGAGTCTTTAATCCAACTGGTTTAGGATTTTCAAATCTAACTGGTTGTTTTCAAATGCTGTCGATTTCATTTGAATTTTAAAATGAGACTAAGACTGTTTTTGTTTTTCTGGAACTCTAGCTAGCTTCATAAAGTCGCGAGTACACTCTAGCTCTATTTGGAATAAAAGAGCTGTGCTTTTTATACTTCTTTGTTCAAGTAAGTGATCATGCCTTTGTTATCTGCACTATGCGAGTTGTTTTTATTGTGTTTACGTTTTCAACATATTGCCTAGATAGGAAAGGGGGTGTGCTAAAAACATCAACATTTTGTTCCTATGCATGTACCAACTCCACCTATCAAGACCATGTTTTTTGCGTGTCTTTGACTGTCTATTTGTTGGAAGAGTCGGGTGTTTTGGGTTGACTTGATATGTATTGTCCAATATGTTTGCTGATTATCCTTATAATAAAATACTGCATATATGTTATAACATATTACATTTTAGAGTTTGGTAAACTGTTAGCATTACCTTAAAAAGGTATTAAAATTATATAGTCTGATATTCATATTAAACTTTGGATAGTATAAAAAACATTTGTCATTCCAAGAAACATTTATATCAAGTTAATTTCAAATGACAATTTTTCTTCTCTGTTTCCAAACAATGGATTGTCAAATCCCCTTCAAATGTCAACAACAATCAAAAGAGAATGATTGATCGAACTATTCGGTCAAATATATATACAACAAGTATATTCTGACAACATGTCAAGGTGTATTAGTAAATACAAAAACAATGTTTAATTGTCTTACTACTGTGGTGTAATGGAATGTTAATTGTCAAAAATTGCCGTGTAGATATATATTAGAAAATTGTCGTTTCTGAATGCTATTTGAGACAGGAGGTACTCACAATTCTTGCTTAATTGAGTTCAAAGTTGATTTTTTGTGCCCCTTTTTGACCTTGAAAATTCTATTTTATTTAGTCTACCTTGACGAGGTTTTCATCTAGGAACATAAAACATCGTGTATTTGCATGTATTTTCTTATTTCACAGTTTAACAAATAAATTCTTCAAAATGTACAATTGTTGTTTAGAAATAACTATTTATCAGTATCGTCACCAGCATTGTTTATTATTGATTTTCTCGACTGTTTCATAAGAAGAGGGAATACTTTATTGTTCTCGTTCACTAGATTTCCCACTGACAAAAAATAGATAAACCACACAGATGGGCTTATTTTCCATAATGTCAAATTGGTACATACCAATACATTTTTCTGCTTTTTATTATTGTGTAGAATGTGTGGTATGGTAAATATTTTGTATTTTTGTTTGCGATGAAGAGTCATTTGTCATCCAATTTTGATCAAAATTCATTTGTTGACATGTTTAACCAATATATAGTAATGTTTGTTGAAATTAAATACACTCAAATCTCAAAAATTTAAAAGAAGATATAAAAAGAGGTTTTGTAAAACAAAAATATTTTGTTAAATGCAAAAAGGGCTTAAGCATGCACGACAACATTCAAACACATTTCACTAAGTTTTGTCAAATGCAAACTTTACTGGATTTTATCAATGATCTGATGGTGAATTGCCAGCGACATCAATAAGAAGAAAATGACATTTCTATTACATAATGCTGTATTTTTGTGCTGCGAGTGGGTGATGGTATTGCACAAAACATTCAATAATTAAGGAGTTCTGACTATTGTGAGATGTGTATATGATGCATCACATTAATTTCGGTGTCGTGTTTTTGTTATTGTCTTGCCAATGCATTTGAAAGGACTCATGGTTTTAATTTTCTCTCTAAACTTATTGTTATATATCAATTTAATTTCACCTTGAGAATTTCATATTCGGTCAAATTTCCCCATTTTAAGATGGGGTTCGTGTTGCTAAGTCTTTAGTTATTATGTAGTGTTTTGTAGACTTTTTTTTATTTTCTTTTTGTCGTTTTCATTCTTGCCATGATTCTGTTTGTGGTATCTCTACGACGTATGAGTTTGAATCTCCCTTTGGTATCGTCCGCATCTTTTTACATTCCGCTGAAATCTACACAGAACTAGAGGATCCAAGGAGCCTGTGTCGCTCGCCTGATATTTTTGTTTACAATTGATGCATGAAATTATGCAACCTTTATACTTTTGCTTTAGTTTCAGAGATATAAGCCAAAAACTGCATTTTACCCCTATGTTCTATTTTTAGCCATGTCGGCCATGTTGGTTGGCAGGCGGGGTCATCGGACACATTTTTAACCTTATACCCAAATGATGATTGTAGCCAAGTTTGGGTAAATTTGTCCCAGTAGTTTCAAAGGAGAAGATTTTTGTAAAAGGTTACAAAAATTTACGAAAAATTGTTAAAAATAGACTTTAAAGGGCAATAACCCCTTAAGGGGTCATTAGACAATTTTGGTCATGTAACTTATTTGTAGATCTTACTTTGCTGAACATTATTGCTGTTTACAGTTTATCTTTATCTATAATAATATTCAAGATAATAACCAAAAACTGCAAAATTTCCTTAAAATTACCAATTCAGGGGCTGCAACCCAACATCGGGTTGTCTGATTCGTCTGAAAATTTCAGGGCAGATAGATCTCAACCTGATGAACATTTTTACCTCATGTTAGATTTACTCTAAATGCTTCAGAAATATATGCAAAAAACTGCATTTTACCCCTATGTTCTATTTTTAGCCATGGCGGCCATGTTGGTTGGCAGGCGGGGTCGTCGGACATATTTTTTAAACTAGATACCCCAATGATGATTGTGGCCATGTTTGGGTAAATTGGATAAATTTGGCCCAGTAGTTTCAGAGGAAAAGATCTTTGTAAAAGTTAACGACGACCGACGACGACGGACGACGGACGCTAAGTGATGAGAAAAGCTCACTTGGCATTTCAGGCCAGGTGAGCTAAAAATAAAGATGGATTAATACGAACGCACCAGTCTGAGGATGAATTCAAGTTCTTTGGAGGAAAAATACAGGCTCCACTAGAGTTACCTGTTGTTTAGCAAATGATAAACAAAATAATATTACCATCGTACAACGTATTTTAAAGACGTTATCAACTAGCCATTCTGTTACAATAATTTAATTGTCTGTCACTATACATCAGGAAAACAACTTCTATTATTTTGTCTTTTAACGACTTTTACAAAAGATGTCATTTATCAGATAAATTAATAGGGGAAACGCACAGGTTTTAAGGGGGGATTTTTTGGGACACTAAAGTTTTCCTTTTCTAGCGTAATTAAATACCTTAGACATGATACAAAAGATGTTAAAGACAAGTGCCACGTTACATTCACAATAACCTTTAAAGATTGTATTATGTAACATAGTAATGAAATGAAGGAATATTTATTTAAAACATTAACAATACGATGGTATATTTATGCATGTTTCAATTTATATTCAAATTCAAATCTATATTGTAATACATGTAATATACTACAACTATAGCATGTGACTAAGCATAAACAAAACAAAAAAATCAACAAAATACATTTTAGTAATTTTTCAAGAATCCCTTGTCCTCAGTGATAAAGAAAGTTTTAAAAAGGAACCAAGTTCATTTATCTGAAATGTATGATATGGGGTTGAGGATTTATGTCATTTTATCTATATACGTTGATCAATAAATTGTATATTCTCATTTATCAATAATCAAAATAAACTTTCCTAAATTTGCATAATTTTGATTGTTTTTGATTCTTATAGTTTAAATTTCTAATACAATTTGTGGAATAATAAAACCAACAGTAAATTCCTAAATAGTCCAGATTTCGGAAACACAATTTTAATTTTGAAATTTTAAATTTCCCCCACCTTAGCAGCAATATACCAACTTCACCTGCATCTGGGATATACATTTCCCAACTCATTCGGTATTCAAGAGCTTGCAGCTGCTACTCAGACTAGTACTTATTAAACGTCACTAGTGTCTGAGCAGAAGGTTGATGAGCCAAGGTTATGTCAAACAACATCTCGTCCTTTTTGTAAAAAGTTCATTGGAAGATCCCAAGACCTTGTTGACAAATATTCCGTATCAACTTCACAAATAATACATGATGGTCTTGAAGTATAAATTCTAGGTACTGACGTTGTTTATCATCTTAATTACGTGTTACATGTATAATGTTCTTTTTAATTGTCCTTTGTTCATTTTTAACCTTTACTGTTTTGTGCATTTTTGGTAATATACTTTTGGCGTGGCTCGGTACTTATACATCTCGCCATGTGTTATTGTGTTTTGGTCATTTTGTATTCTTGTCTTTCATTTTGGCTTAATATGTATTTTGTCTATAGAGTTTCTATATGCCGATTTTGTTTTTCTTTGTTGAAATAGTTATTTGTTTTTACAGTGATTAAGATTATATTACAATGTTGACGGCTGTACCCCAATTTTTGACATTTTTACCTATTATGTCTGTTTGTTCATATCACATATTCTTGTCAATATAATCGAATTCTATGCGACTGACATACAAGTGAGAGGTAAAGCTAGCTATAAAACCAGGTTTAATCCACCATTTTCTACATTAAAAAAAAGCCTGTACCAAGTCAGGAATATGACAGTTGTTTTCCATTCGTTTGATGTGTTTGAGCTTTTGATTTTGCCATTTTATAAGTGGTTTTTCGTTTTGAATTTCCCTTGGAGTTCAGTATTTTTGTTATTTTACTTTTTACACATTAAAAAGGATCACGGGTGTAACGTAGTTAAATATCTTAGACATGATATAAGCATTTAAGGAACAATTCCGGATTTTAGGAAAATAAGTTTTCAAATTCTGAGCGAAAAGAATGTTTATTAAGATA